GTGTGTGTGTGTGTGTGTGAGGGGAACAGGGTCACATCACAGGAGAGTGAACTGCCTGTCAGAAATCATAGCACGTCAGCTGTCTTAACCGCGGCTTGTGTACTGCATCATTACTGTATCTGTTCCCCTTTCGGGCTTGAACTGATGGTAAAACTAATGACATTATTTACTGTCTTTACAGTACATTTATTTTGAAAGATGAAGCTCACGATTATGGTAAGGGGCGTTACATTTCCGACGAGTGCTTGCGATGTTCGGCCAATCACAATGCACTGGGTCAGCTGGCCAATCAGAGCAGACTGCGCTTGTCGGAAGGAGGGACTTTGTAGAAAACGAAGCGTTTGAGAGAGGCGGGGCATAGAGGACAATAATGTACAGTATTTGAAAAAGAATGTGTTTTTTGAACATTAAAGCATGTCAACATATTCTGTTACACCAAATACACAAAATAATTATCTTTAAAAAAGCATCATATGACCCCTTTAAGCAGTTTATGTGTACCTTTGCCTTTTTACACTTTTATGTGTAAAACTTTCCAAAACATTTTGCACACAAAGAAAGGACTATGCTATTTTGACAGATATGATTAATATGATGTACTTGCTTGAAACTCCAGTCATTCTGTGGCCTAAATAAATTCTTATTTAATAGATTTATTTAGCCTGACATGTTGACAGTCTTGCAATTCAATCCATTGCTATCCACTGCACTGCAATATACACTATCGTTTAAAAGTTTAGGGACTGTAAGATTTTTTTTTTTAAAGAAATGAATGCTTTTATTTAGCAAAGATGTCATTAATCAGAAGTCTATTATAATAATCAGCAAATCAGTATATTAGAATGATTTCTGAAGGATCATGTGACACTGAAGACTGGAGTAAAGATGCTGAAAATTCAGCTTTGCATCACAGGAATAAATTACATTTTAATATATTTTAAAATAGAGAACAGTTATTTTAAATTGTAATATTTGACAAAAAAGCAGAAAGCAAGTCAACACTACTAAGAGTTAAACCTGCGAGGCACAAAACCAGACTAGACCCCTGTTCACATACACAGTGTTGGTATTCTTGCTCTGAAATCAACCCCAGAACTCAGCAGGAGTTCCTTAATAATCCAGACTACTTATTTTAATTCACTATTTCATCTTTTCTGTGTTGGTAAAGGTTCTGTGTTTTTATTTAACTCTACCTCTTAATGTGTTTGATCTGTGTTGTACAGAACAGTTCCTTGTGTCTTGATTATTCTGTTCCGTATCAGTAAAGTGTGTCAGCAACTGCCTGAATAAATACATAAATGAATCAGGAAATCAATAAATGCATTAATGATTCGGTCAATCAATAAGCACATGAATGAATTAGGGAATCAATAAATGCATGAATGAATTAGTGAACCAATTCATTCATGAATAAATCAGTAAAATGGATAGTTATTCAGACTGACACATTACAAAGAATTGTATACATACATATATTTTACAACATTTTAACACATCTATTCTACCACAGGACAGTTTAATATGAACTAGTGAAAGAAAAAGGTATTTAAATGTGGCCAGTCATAGGATTTAAGTTAAATCCTTACACATTTATGCAAATATTAACCTAAACTCTTGATGCTAATTAACCAAAAATATCCGCTCATATACCTGTCAATTTAACTGTATGTGAGCAGTATGACAGCTTTAATTGATGCACGGTATAAGGGGAAAACGCTCCAGCATATGAGATTGACTTTACTTGGTTTGGAAAGCCATCTTCAAATTAAATGATTTCAGAAGAAAGCTTAGACCAGCTGTTCACATCAACGCCATTGTGCCCCCAAGTGGTGACCCAGTTCTGTGTTAGTTACAGAATGCCTGAGAGATGCTTAGTCAAACTCAGCAAATGTTATTGCTGTCCTTGCAGCTGTGTAATGATAATGAATGCCCTTGAAAATCATAACAAGTGATGTCTGTCTTTGGAAACTATAGATCTCTCCTTAAACATGAAGAGGTCAAACAACAGATTAATGAGTTACTCCAAATTTCACAAAAAGCTATAATAATATAAGTCAGACACTGAGTTGCTGTTTTTGTCACTCTTCTGATGAAGATGTCTTTCACTTGTTTGGCAATGTACCCACACAGAGAAACTTTGGTCAGATAATGTTTAATGTTCATTCGATCTCATTTTGTAAGTGACTTTTCTTTCTGTTTTCTTTGGATTGTTTGACTACTCTAAAGAGAATATAGGAAAATATAACTTAATTAAATAGTTTTTCCTGCTAGCTAGATTTTACATACATAAAAATCTGGCTCTAAACCTCTCTTTTCTTTATTCAGAGGTTTGTTGTTTTGTTTTTTGTTGTTTTTTTTAACATGGAAACACATCCCTTATGAAAATTAACCATGGTTAACCAATTAATCAAAATAGGGTAAGTAATAATAATAATAAACATGGTTGCTAGTTAAACCATGGTAACCACAAATTAACCATGGTTTTGCTACAGTAACTATAGTTTAACCATGGTATTTATAGTAAAACTGTGGTTATACAAAAAAAAAAGCAAACATTTTTATTAGCTATAATAAAACTTTCTTAAAGGGGTCATAGGATGCCCATTTCCCACACGTTGATATGATTCTTTAGGGTCTTAAGTCTTTAACATAGTTTGGTTAAAAATTCTTAATGGTAGTGTAAAAAGCACATTTTACAAAAACAGCTCTTTTCAGAGCACACAGTTTTGTAGCATTTTCCTTTAAATGTTAATGAGCTCTGCTGACCCCGCCCCTCTCTTCCGAGCCGCTCTCAGAGAGACTGTTTACTTTAGCCGCATTCATGGTGAAACTTGTTAATTAGCACATTATTAGGAAAGGCGATTTGCAAATATTCTTTAAAAAAAACTTATACTCACTTTTTCTGTTGGTGAAGCTGGATCACGAATGATTCGCGTGAACATAGACACATTTAATGGGGACAGGAGAGCTGTCGATCAATAAATTGGAAAAAAAAAAGTTACTTGCGTTACTTATCTGAAAAAGTAACTCAGATATTCTCTTGTAAATTAAAAAGTAATAATCAGTAAACTAGTAATACTGTACTAGTTACTTGAAAAAAGTAATCTGATTATGTAACTTGCGTTACTTGTAATATATTACCCCCAACACTGGTCGGGAGTAAATGACGACTGCTATGTTCATTATTACATCCAACAACAGTACACCTCAATCGCTTAGGAGTCATTCTTGTCTACATCTGCTCCGGCAGTGAAACAATGGTGGACTGATGACAGCTATGTCAGCCTAGTCTGAACATGGCTTTTTCTATGAACGTACAAATAGATTGTGGATTTGTGGATATGGATGTATGAATTGGGATGTAAGTTTTATTGTGTGTATTAAATTGACTGATAATCAGTGTGGTGCTTGTGGTTCTATTCTATTTAATTCTATTCTCTTATTCCTTTTTTTTGTCTTTTCTGTTCCCTAGAATAATTTTTTAAATTCTGAAACTTTTGATAGCACCTTTTGTTATGTTTTAAATAACATTTTCCCTAATTTTTAATGGTACTGCAATGTTATGTTTGCAGAATATCATTGTTTTTGCTTGTCCTTTTCTAGACATTAAAATTTTTCCTATAAACCAAATTAAAAGAACATGAGGGAAATTCTACCTTTTTCAAATCATTTTGTTTCAAATGCATAATGTTTTTTTAAATAACACTGAATCACGGATCCAAATACTGCTGTCTTTACCATCACAAGTATTTTCTAAGTAAGATTTATACGTTTTATAGAACAGCATTTTTACATTACAATCTGAGATCTTATCAAGTTGGGCAGTATCTGAGAATTGTATTATTAAACAGATTTTTTTTTAATGATATACTAATTTGTGTTAGCAAGACCAAGGTTTATCTAAGCTTGGTTGACCAAGGCCATGTTCTTTTTTCCAGGACATGCAATAATATGTTCTTTAACAGATGGAGTTTTATGAAAGAATCTCTTCTGATGTCTTCCTATAGCTGCGTTCTATCCAGGATCTGCAGACGGTTCAGACGATTAAGATTCTGCGATATGAGAAGAAAGTGGCGGTGATGTTCCTAATGATGATCTCCTGTTTCCTGGTGTGCTGGACGCCCTATGCTGTGGTCTCCATGCTGGAGGCTTTTGGCTGGAAGAGTTTCGTCTCCCCCACGGTTGCCATCATTCCCTCTCTCTTCGCCAAATCCAGCACTGCCTACAACCCCGTCATCTGCACCTTCATGAGCAGAAAGGTCAGCAGAAGTCACTCAATTCAAATGGAAGGGCATTTAGTGAGGGTATTTATTATATTATATAGGCAGGCCTGTGACATCACAATAGGTCATACAGAATAATTTCACAAATAATTATAAAGAAACTGCAAGTAACACATTGAATTAAACATGACACTTTGAAAGACTGATATAGTATTTTCTTGTGAAACTCACTCGAATAATCTTTGATAAATATATTTTTTACAGTGTATGTATATGAAACTTACTTTCCTTGTTCTGATTGGTCAGTTTCGCAGGTGTATGTTACAGATGCTGTGTTCTCGTCTGGCCAGTGTGCAACACAGCGTTAAGGACCGTCCCCTCGCCCGCATCGAACATCCTGTACGGCCCATTGTGATGTCACAGAGCCATCCCAACCGGCCCAAAAAGAGAGTGACCTTCAGCTCTTCCTCCATCGTATTCATCATCGCTAGCAATGACACTCATCCTCTGGATATTACCTCCAAATGCAATGACGAACCAGACATCAACGTAATTCAAGTTCGACCGCTTTGACACTTGCCGTAGTGACATAAAAGAACGACACGAGTTCATTAACATCACACTAATTTAATGTTTATAATATAGGCTACAGGAGATACAGAAACATCTATTTTTTTATTAATATGGAAACAAGGATTTCTTTATTGTTGCAACATAAACTGACTTTTTTTGTGTTCCCAATCAAGACTTGTGTGAATTATATCAATTGTAACTATTTTATGAAAATGACTTGGAGTTATGATTTTCTCCTTCTTTTCAGACACTGAAACTTCCACCTTCACCCAGTTTCGTGAGCTGGTGAGATATCCGCAGCTTAGATTGAACAGTCCGTGAGCAGAATACATTAGTGAGTGTGCTCAGATAGATTAGGAACACAGTGTTAGTACAAGGACTCTTCTAGGACGGGACAATTGTCAAAACTGCAGCACCTCATACATAATGTCAGTCAGGTCTACAGCGCCCCCCCCCCCCAGAGGAAGCGAAGTGTGTGCCCTGTTTGAAAAACACGAGCCAAAATCACTATTTCTACTGGTCAATTTTTGGATTAGGGCTTGAACAAACCCCTAAATATTAAACTTTGGCGAGTTTACCTCAAATCGCGTTATTCTTGAGAAGAACCGTGTTTTCCCTTTTCTATTATAGTGAATTTAGGCTACTTAAAAAAAATTCCCTAATGGGTGATGCACACTCTAAAAAACACTGGGTTAAAAACAACCCAGTTTGGGTTATTTTTAACCTAAGGGCTGGGAAAATGTGGGACAGGACACATTTTGGGTTAATTTTACCCAGCAAATTGGGTTGTTTATTTATAATGGTTTGATTCATTTTTACTAAAATACTAGTTTATTTTTTTACTTCATACATGAATTAATGTTTACAGTTTAACTTAAATCCTCTAAACATTTGTAAAATAGGCCTACTCCACCCAACCACTGATTTGCATGATAACTTTATTTTCAATTATTTACAGCATTGCATGTTTTACATCGTTTTTAACATGACATAGGCCATATTGCCTATATTTAAACTCGTTTAACAAACATTACAAGTACAAATTAAACAGATTCACGACCAGTCTCTGTTAACCCGTTTCCACCGAAATGGCGCTGGTTCTCGTGTCCGAGCTGGAATCGCGTTCGGTGGGGAACTGCTAACTTCAGACCGCCGCCCATAAGTAAACACCTAGCAACCACTCAGAACACCCTGGTAACCGCATTATAACACCTCGGAAACCACACAGAATAGAAGTCTTTAGAAGACAAAAAAAACTCATATACAAATGTATGGTAAGGTGCGATTACATTGGCAAAATTTCGCGGCCAAAAATGCTTATGCTTGGATGTGGAGCAGAGTTCACACACAAGACACTAAAAAGAACATTATTTTGTGTATTTGGTGTAATGAAATGTGTTTATGCGGTTTAAGGTTCAAAAAACACATTATTTTCCACATACTGTACATTATTGTTTCTCCTCTATGCCTCGCCTTTCTGAAACGCGTCGAGTTTTACAAAGCCTATCACGGAAATGTTACGCCCCTTACCATACATACCATGTCCAGGCCGGAGCAATGAGACAAAAACATTCAAACCCATTATAAACGAGGCATTTGTTGCATCCAGTAGGGACATAATTACGGATTATAATGATTTATACTGTCTTTTTACGCGTTGTGTTGCATCGCGCCGCGTAAACATAAAACCATGTCTGCATTTGTGATCGGAGAAATTACAAACAACAAGTGCTACTCTACACTGCTCAAAACTCACGTTTGAATCATCAGTGGTAAATCCTTAAAATATGAAAACTTACTTACAGTCTGTGAGTCAGAACAGCCAGCATTGTAGTCTACTCTGCCAGGAAACAGTCCTCCATAAAATGCGCAGCACACAACTGAATATTTGGGTTGAACTGTTCTGGAACAGTGTTGTAAATACAACTTAACCACTGATTTCTAGTCGTGTCTTATTTTGGAAGGCCAAACAAAGTAGTTTCGTTTTCACAACGAAAAACACAGCGTCACACACGGCAGATAGAGTGAGAGGTGGCGGGCGAGCTTGAGAACGGCGCGGTCGGCGGAGTCGAAGAAGTAGCGTCCGGCGGGCTTGCGGCAACCACATGTGGCGACCCCGGGCTGGACTCCGCTTCGACCACGGTGAAAGCCAATCCGGTGATCCACAGCGCAAACTTGTTGTGTTTCCTTAGCAACCAGCACGGATCAGCTCTAGGCACGTCGAAGCAGATATCGTCTTCTTTTGGAAGGCCAAACAAAGTAGTTTCGTTTTCACAACGAAAAACACAGCGTCACACACGGCAGATAGAGTGAGAGGTGGCGGGCGAGCTTGAGAACGGCGCGGTCGGCGGAGTCGAAGAAGTAGCGTCCGGCGGGCTTGCGGCAACCACATGTGGCGACCCCGGGCTGGACTCCGCTTCGACCACGGTGAAAGCCAATCCGGTGATCCACAGCGCAAACTTGTTGTGTTTCCTTAGCAACCAGCACGGATCAGCTCTAGGCACGTCGAAGCAGATATCGTCTTCTTTTGGAAGGCCAAACAAAGTAGTTTTGCTTTCACAACGAAACACACACAGCGTCTTCACGACATGGCAGCAGCAACAATACTACAGTGAGAATAAAAGTTACGCCTTCTTTCTTTGCGTGAACATTTGAGCGGCGTCATGCAAATCTTCCCACATCGTGATGTAGATATGTGGGGGCGTGTTAGAATGAGCCGTTTTAGGTAGGCGTGGTTGACTCTTAACTTTTATTCATTCTTTTTATATAATTTGAGACTTTAGTCTTTGCAACTTTACAGATCTTCTTCATTTATTCTAAATTATTTATTTTTCATTGGCTCAAGTTAAAAAATATAGATGTGAATCATTACCCTAAATTTTTTTAATTGGATTAATGAAACATTTTTTTCAGTGTAGTAGAGAATGGTGCTTGAATGCATGAGCTGGTAAAATGTACACTTGCATGCAATTTTTTTTTTTTGTGCTAATCAACACCATGCCACAAAATGCAGAGCTTAGCTTGTATTGAACAAGACTTCAGTTTTGGTATAGTACAGAGCCATGAAACATCTTTGGGAGTTCGTCCTTTGACAAGGCAATAGCATGATAAGGCTACTAAAACAACAACATAGCATGTCCTGTGCACAGTTCAGAAGGCAAGTATACGGGTCCACAGGTGCTCTGCAGAGATGCTGGGGAGTTTGTGAGCGTATCTGACCAAGACATACGTCCCTCCTGCAGCCGACACAACACCACACAGCCACAGACCTCGAGTGATCACCTGCAAAAGACCAGCAAGACAACTACTTATTTTTTACAATCAGCTCATTGGTTTCAGTGCTGGAAACACACTTTGATTAGTTCCTGAACTACAGCAGGACATTTTGAAGTTTCTAATTTAATTTTTAAAAAAAATTTAAATTATTTTTCTACCATCAGTTTGAAATGTGCTATTATGATCATAAGACGAATGGATCTTCATGTGAAATAATGTTTTGTTGATAGCTCAGAATGAAAGAGCCGTTTTAAAACACTTTGTTTTTAGCCTCTCATGGTTCCTGATTTTACACTGGTACGGGTCATTTATCAGTCAAACGTTGCTCTCAAGCACTTTCAAACATACAGGTTTTGTCTTCACCTTATTTTGCCAATGCCAGTGCTTCACCGTTTCATGGTACCGTGTTCTGGTGAATGTGACTTAAGAGGCAAGTAATCAGGCATATGAATTAGTGAACAACGAAAAACAAGATAATAGAACACAAAAAGGCTCTTAACATTGTGTAAAGCGGGATGATTGTTTTAGGCTTGATGAAGTGAAGGATATTGTCCAGGTATTTTCAGATCAGAAAATATCTGGAATTGACGCGTGCTCTCATCTACGACACAGAACACATAATAGCAGCCTTTAATGGTCTAGCTCTTGGTCTGGTCTAAACCTCTTGGAAATAAATGTGTGTGTCTGTATTTTTCACCCTGCCATCAGTAATGAGGTTGACCTGTGTCACTGCAGGCTGTATGTCACATGCGATCAGCTGGTCAGACTGATTACTGAGTCAGTGTGTGTGTTTGTTCTGTGTGCATACTACTTAATGAACAGAAAACAAGGACAGCTTTGCTTGGCAGCTCTGATAAACAAACTTGTTTAACTACAAAACCCGCGACCCTGAAGTTGTTAGCTCTACATTTACATTTAGTCATTTAGCAGATGCTTTTATCCAAAGCGACTTACAAATGAGGACAATAAAAGCAGTCAAAACTAACAAAAGAGCAACAATATGTAAGTGCAAATGACAAGTCTCGGTTAGCCTAACACAGTACACGTAGCAAGGTATTTGTGTGTGTGTGTGTGTGTGTGTGTGTGTGTGTGTGTGTGTGTGTGCTGGCAGCTTATTTAATTCAAGGAAATGCATCCTGAGATTAATATTAATACAACATAAACATAATATTACAACTTATATATGTACAAAATGATGCATTAAGAGTTTATTTGCAAAAACAGATAACTCCATTTTTAAAAATTTTCAAAAATCATGTTTTTTATTATGTTATCATGTTTTTATCAGTCAAACTGCAGTTGGGTAAAAATAACTAAAAAATACAACTAACTAACACAATAAAACACAATAAAAACACGATAACATCATAAAAAAAACATGATTTTTTTTTTTATTTTAAAAAAACGTAGTCTTAAACTCTTCTTTTGCAGTACACGACACAATGGGAGAAATAGTAATTAAATTAAATTCAAGTTTATTTGTACAGCGCTTTTCACGATACAAATCATTGCAAAGCAACTTTACAGCAAATTAAGTTTCTACAATATTTAGTGGTAGCTTATCAGTGGTGACTGTCAGTCAATGTACATATGGCATTTTTTTTTAATGTGCTAAAATGTCCACAATATATAGATATAATAACATATATTGTAACATTTTAGTTACTTATATTTACCCATATATTTTTGCATGTTTTATATGCTTTCACCCTAAATGTATTTACATTGTTCCAAATATATTTTAAAATATAGATTTTGCATTTATCCAAGATGATATAACAAATGTCTTGAAATGTTTCTGGAGCATCAAATCAGCAAATTACAATGATTTCTGAAGAATCACGTGACACTGAAGACTGGAGTAATGGTGTTGAAAATGTAGATTTGCATCA